ATAAAGCCCTAAATAGTTRGGGTCCCACCCATCTTCGTGATCACATCTCCATCTATGAACTGGCGCAAACTCTAAGATACTCCGGGAAGGCTCTCCTCTCGCTCCCACCTCCGTCACAAGCATGGTTGGTGGGGATGAGAGAAAGGGCCTTCTCGGTGGTGGCCCCCGCCTCTGGAACGCCCTTCCAAGGGAAATAAAATAGGCCCCATCCCTCACCCCTTTCGTAAGAGTTTGAAGACTTGGTGGTTTCAACAAATCTTTGAGAGTGAGCAGTGCTAGCTCAGCCCAGACACTGTCTAGACACGACCTTGCCCCTATATATTACCCTCGTCATTTTCCTAACAGACTCCTGGAAATAGCCCGTCCCCACTTACCTATTACAGTACTGTACTTAAATGCCGGTCCCATCTTCTTTCAATTTGTATCAGTCTTGACCCAGCCTTTTTAATTGTCCTGACCTATTCCTTTTCCATGCCCTAAAAAATAGACACGAAGAGCAGGCAGGATTTTTCCTTTTAATATTTATGTGTTGTTGGATAACTCCATGTTTATGTTGCTGTTACTGTTATTTTTTGTTCATGTTGTGACTCTGTATGTTTTGATGTTGTTGCTTGGAAACCACCCTGAGTCCCCCCGGGGAGATAGATCGGTATATACACAAAGTTTTTTTTAATTTATTATTATTATTATTATTATTATTATTATTATTATTATTATTATTATTATTTTGCCCCATTCACTTCCGGCCTGCTCCCACCCAGCAAGTGCCCCCCCACCTGTGGCCCAGCCCTGCCTGTTGGGCCCGCAATGCAACCCCAAGGCAAAAGGTTAATTTTCCCACAGGTTGATTTTCCCTAAAGAGAAACAATCTGTCATACTTACATGCATCTACTGGCTGCAGTTTGCCCGCTGTGCACTCATCTGTGGCCTTATCTCTGGAAGACCTGAAAAGTTGTGAAACACTCTAGGCCAAAGGCATATTTCTTTGATTTATTGCCAAGTTCTGCAGGATTCTGCTTGTAAATTGCCATGGCTTCCTCTGTTTTCATCCTTTGCCCTAATTGTGCTAAGGAACATTCAGGGAGGGGCGGTTTACTTGTACAGGAGCCACTCCTCCAATGCTTTTTACATTTCTGCTGCTGGCATGATCAATGAGTAGAGGATCTGTGTGAAGCAAAGTCAAGGGTTCAGTGCCAAGTTCTGTGCTGGCTGTGAATTCTGGGAGTTGTAATCCAACAGAGGAATTTTCCTAAGCTCTGGCCAAATTCAAGTTCTGTGATATGACAATAACAAGATTATAGAGAATAAAATGTTCACGGGGAAGATGAAGATGGATTGCCTGAGTCTTGGTTTTTTAAATATAAAATAATCTATGTTTTTGTATGTGTGCCTTCAAGTTGTCTCTAGACATATGGCAACCTCATGATTTTTAATAGGGTTTCCCGAGGCAAGCAATACTCAGAAGTATTTTTTGCCACATAACCAAAAGCAGCTGTTCTTCATTGACAGTGTGCTATGTAAGTACTAATGAGGACTCACCTTGCTTAACTCCCCAAATCAGACAGGATCTAGTGCCTTTAGTGTACTTAGTCTTAAGGATTAAACCTGGCACCTCTTGTGCTGTATATAGAAATTGTTAAATAAGTTTGTCCTATAGAGGTGAAAGCACTTGATCTGATGAAGGAAACTGTATCTGTCATTAACACAAACTAAGTTAAAAGGTATAGGTTTTCCTCTGACATTGTCTAGTTGTATCTGACCCTGGGGGTTGGTGCTCATCTCCATTTCTAAGCCAAAGAGCCAGCGTTGTCCATAGACACTTCTAAGGTCATGACTGCATGGAGCACCATTACCTTCCTGCTGAAGCGGTACCTATTTGCCAACCTAGTGTATCTTCAAACTGCTAGGTTGGCAGAAGCTAGGGCTAGCAATAGGAGCTCACACCACTCCCCGGATTCAATCAGCAAGTTCAGCAGCTCAGTGGTTTAACCCACTGTGCCACCAGGAACCACATGTATATAAATGAACCAAGGCAGAATAGCTGCCACCTAACAGTCCTAACTTCAATTTCAAAAAAAACCTTTTATGGTGCTTTGTGGAGCAATAAAGCCTTTCCACCCATTCCTGCTTGGTAAATCTTGTACCACCAGTTCTTTTCTTGCACATCTCTCCCCCACATCTTGTAATTAATCTGCATGCCCATTCTTGCTAGCTGAACAAAGCTTCCAGTTAAACTTAAACCGATCATTAATCCAAATAGTTAACCATTTGGATATAAAATAATATTTTTGGAATAGCAGGGTGTATCATAATCATAGATTAGGGATCCCCAATTTTAAAAGTTATCCCAAACTCACATGGCTAAAAATTATGTGAGGGAATCAAGCCCTATGAGGAGCAGCCTATGGATCTGAATATGTTTAGCCTGAAGAAAGAAAAGTTAAGAGGAGACATAGAACCGTCCTTAAATATCTGAAATGCCATTGGGGATCAAGGTAGAGAGCAAACTTGATTTCTGCTGCTCCAGAGGCTTAGGACTTTAAATAATAATAATAATAATAATAATAATAATAATAATAATAATAATAATAATCTTTATTTATACCCCACCACCATCTCCCCCAACAGGGACTCAGGGTGGCTTAACACGAGGCCAGGCCCAAACAACAAATTACAACAAAGTAAAACCAAAAACACAAGCAACAAGCAACAGCATCATAATTACATAATAAAAAACCCATATAAATACATTAGCAATATAAAATTACAATCACAGTGACAATGGGTCACATGTGCAGAATAAAATCATTACCCCATACTGTCCCTCCCCCACCTCTAAACATTTAGAATTTATTTATTTATTGTATTTATATACCACTTTTCTTGCCCCAGGGGGACTCAAAGCAGTGCACATCAATGAATGGCAAAATCATTTCAAAACCATAGAATCCATTGAGGTTAGGATGTATGACAGAGCCCTTCTCATGATGCAGGGAGACTTCCTGTCAGCGTCCATCAAAAGGGAGTGGGGGAGAAGATGGCCAGAAATCAGGAAACCAGGATATAATTGGAGAAAACACCAAAATAACATGTGGGATGGGAGCTGTCAAATTTGCCTGTGCTGAATCACTTGAATGACATGGATTCACAGTATCCACAGCTTGATAACCACAGACAAAACAGGGTTTTTAAAACCTTTTCCGCCTGGAATGTACATGTACACATCACATTATAGTAGAGCACTTTGTGTGTCCATGCAGTTATGTGCATTCTGCAGAAGCAATTTCGCCCTTTAATTTGATTTGTAATAGAGCATCCTGCTGCAGATTAAGTGCTGTCTTTAAAATGCTAAAAGCCCGCTGCAGAACTCTTTCACTGTGGGTGTTTATATCTGCCTCACTTTGAAGTTGACTCCAAGCTGAATTAACTAGTAAGTGTAGATAAGGCCTTAGAGATAAAGCAATTGATCCAAAGTGCAGAAATAGGGATTCCGCTGTAACATTAGGAAAAAAACTTACTGCTTTTTGACAGTAAAATATGCTGCATTGGAGTATAGTGAAGTCTCCTTTCCTGGAGGTTTTTAAACCTCCAGAAAGTGCAGGAACACACTGGCTATCTTTCAGGAGTGCTTTGATTGTGTGTTCCTTCATGGCAGAATGCGGTTGGACTGGATGGTCCTTCGGGTCTCTTACCATGATTCTATAAACAGTCAGGCATTGTATTATCGAAGGCTTTCATGGCTGGAATCACTGGGGGGTTGTAGGTTTTTCGGGCTGTATGGCCATGTTTTAGAAGCATTTTCTCCTGACATTTTGCCTGCATCTATGGCAGGCATCCTCAGAGGTTGTGAGGTCAGGCACTGATGATAGTTTATGCCTCTGTGACTCTTTTACTACATTAAATTTATTTTTTAGGCAAGTGGCTGTTCTTTAAAGGATCTATAATTCTGGGTTGTTATAGGTTTTTTTGGGCTAATTTATTGTAATTTATTGCTAATTTGTAATTAATTGTACAAATTGTAATTAATTGTAATTAATTGCTAATTTATTGTAAGCTAATTGCATGTCAAGCCGTACAGGCTGAAATCTACTATTTTGGGAAGTCATGCAAAGTGCAGGAGCACTGTTCTGTCTTGCACAAATAACTTAGGCTTCTTATCAGGATGACCACATGACAAGGGGGACAGAGGCATCATACCTTTAATAGTTCTGTGTAAGTGGGATTGCAGCAGTGAAGTTTGCATCACAAGCTTC